ATTTTTGTATGATTTCTCTTGCACTGCCCTTTCCAATGGGTTTCGAAGATAAAAATCCTTTATTGATTAGCCCATAAACTGACCTAGGTAAATCCATGAACGACGATACGGTGGTGTTACAACGGATATTTCGCTTCTTATTTGCTGTTTAAGGCTGCCTACCTAGTACTAACTACTTGCTTAAATAGTATATTTGTGTTAACAAATTCATTAAATATATAAAATATTAAATTTAGAAATTCAGTTATTAGCTTTTGAAGTCGTCATTTTAACACTAAAAAAAACCCATAAAATTGAAAACTTAACTTTGCCAAAAGTTTGGAAGGAATCTTTGGAGGAGGGAATTTAACAGTGGCAGAACAAATTTTTTTACTAATTGAATTCAGGATATAAAGAATAAACACATGAAAAAGTTAATATGATTTAATCTGTATTATATACACATAAAAATAAATTGACCTTATATATAGAGTATAATATTAGAAAGCTCAAAATGTAGAATCAATATGTTTTCCACAAACGGATGCAACTTAGGATTTGCGTTAGTAATAGGAACAGGATTCCTCTGCAGAAACTTGTATGTTTCCTTGCGAAGAAAGAAAATCCCCCAAGTTTCATTTGGGAAAATGCCAGCAACATAATATTTTCTGTAAATAGGTTCCCAATTTCCTTGTTGGAACGCCTTTCTTTGATATGCATATTCTCTTTCTTATTTTATTACAAAAGTCTCCCAACTTCTTTTGGTAAATTTCTCCCATTTTTCTTTTAACTCTACCATACTTAGTTATCTTTAGAATATTGAACCCAAGTTAGTACTAGGGGAAGAGTTCTCAGGTCGTCGTTTGTCGAAATGACCCCAGAAGCGACGAAGTCTGTGGTCGAAGAGTTAACCAGGGGCCGAAGTCGAGGAGTCAACAAGGGTCGAGGCCAAGGTCGAGTACTTTTGACATAATTATAACGGCTAGTTTCAAGATAGGACATTAAAGAAAATATTCTAGTGGATATTCTCTTTACTTGTGCTATTAGGGATTTTAGGAAAATGTTCCCTATAAATAGAAAAAGACACAATGACAGGTGGAAAGTGATATTCATTTGTAAAAAATACACTTTGACTTTAGAGAGAGAATCAGACTTCATTACAAGCATACAAACATCACATTTTCACTAAGATTCTTGTCTATACTTTTCCACTAGATCTGAGAGTACCTCAGATATTCAAAGGATTGTCCATCAATCATCATTGTCAGAAAGAATATTCACTAATTTCATCCTTTCTTGGGTGACACATTCATTCTATTTACTTAAATGTCATTTATTGCTATTTATTGATATTGAATGCTACATTATTGCCTTTAGTTTCTGGAATATTCATTGCTTACTGCCGCCGTTATCCAACAAATACTTACATAGTATTTGTTGCACTTTTAAGAACTCCATCTCAGGGATAATATTGTTAGCTAAGATTAACCCTCATTTATATAAATTTAATTATTCGAACCAAGATCTACATTTTTTGGTCAAATAATTTGGCACCGTCTGTCGGGATTTCTTAGCTAAATTTTTAGTTTCCTATAGATCTACAATTAATGCAAGTCACTAACGTCAAAAACTCCGAGATCTCCTTTCTTTGTGCATACAAAATCCTACATGGCAGGTAATCAAGGAGAAAGGATCAAAATAACAAGTGACTTCCCAACCAACCTCATGAATGCCATCAACGAAAGCTGTGAAACAGTAGGTGAGGACACGACGCCCAACGCGTCCTCTAGGCGAGAGAGGTCAACTCCCCCCACTGCAACATAATAAAATCCAACGGAAAAGGGGCCTCCACGTCTGCAGAAGAATGGATGCCCCCAGCTGTGAAAAAACTCCTCGAGGCATGGCTGACCGACATGCTAGCAAGCGTCCTCAACAAACCCGCTCCATGCATGACTGCAGAAACCGCAAAGGCTTGCACGATACAACAAACAGACGAGCAGTGCAACCAACCCCTCCCTCCAACAACAGGTATAACTCACAATATTACTGACAATGCAGGTTACAGCGACCTCGTTGCCATTCTAAAGTCACTACGAGACTAGATGAAAGAATACCAAGAACGAGTTGACAAGATACCGGTTCCAAAGCTGCTGCCGAAAAGGGACGTCGGCAGGTTCCAAGAGCAGTTGTACAACGATGATGCAGCCTCGCATGCCATACCAAAGACACTCAAAATGCCACCCTACCTCAGGATATATGACGGAACGACTGATCCTAAAGATAATGTGACTCACTACATCATCGCCGTGAAAGACAACGACCTCGCCAAGGAACAAGTGTCCTCTATTTTGCTGAAGAACTTTGGCGAAACTCTTACGGGAGGGGATTAATATGGTATTCACAGCTACTATCCCGCTCCATAGAAACTTTCGAAGAAATGGCCGATAAGTTCGTAAACGCCCATGCCGGAGCCAAGAAGGCCGAAGCATGAGTAAATGACAAATTTGCTATTAAGCAGTCCTTGGGAGAGGGATTGAGGGACTTCCTCGTCTGGATTAACAGAGTAAGGATGACTCTGCCGAACGTATACGAAGGGATGGCGGTTGCATCTTTCTAGAATGGACTAAGTAGAGATCGTTTAAGAGCAACTAGAAAATTATTGAGCCGATTGATGAAGTATCCTCCAACCACTTGGGACGAAATCAATAATGCTTATTGTACTGAGGTCCGAGCAGACGAGGACGACCTCAACGGACCAACTCACTGATTAACCTCGGTACAAGCCGAATCCAAAAAAAGAACGAAGAGACAGCACTAGAAGAGATCACTCGATTCCGCGACCTAACAGGGAACGGCACCAATCATATGTCAGGATAGCAGCCGCACCCTCCCTCCGCTATGAAAAAGGGCGTCTAGGCCAAGGACAGGGACTCGTCGGAACGAAATAGGTATGCCTCATCTATTATCTGCTCATAATTTTCTTTTGTCGCCTATATAAATAGTCTACGCTCTTGAGAAACTCGGAACAAGGTGAAGTGACCGCCGAAGATGAGGTCAGACCCGAACATCAGAAAATTCGACGCCCTCTGTGAGTTCCACCAGGAACGTCAAAACAAAAGATTGCATCGCCCTCAGACAAGAAATCGTAAACATGTTAATGCAAGGGCACCTCAAAGAGCTGTTAAGCGATAAGGGGAGGATCAACTTTGCCAGAGGACGTGAACATCAAGGCCCGCCAAAGCCGCCATCGCCAGCTTGTACCATCAACATGATCATTGGCGGAGGCGATGATGTCTCTATCAACGGCATAAAGTTCACCACCACTCACAAGCTCAAGCGGTCTATCACCCGCGAATGGTACGGCGGACTCGAAGAAAGTATCATTTTCGACGAGTCGGATGCCGATGGTTTGACTTTCCCTCATAATGATGCCCTCATTATTACTTTACGCATTTTAGATACCGATGTCAAACGCATCATGGAGGGAGATAAAAGCGGTGCATGCATTATCCATCCCCGTGTCATTACCCAAATGAGGCTCGAGGATAAGATAGTATTAGGCTGCATCACGCTAATCGATTTTAATAATGCAGTTGAGCAGATATCTGGGGAAATTACACTTTCCGTCTTGGCCGGCGCGCGTGACTCTGTAGACGACATTCCACATCATGTACCAAGTCACTACGTACAACGCCATAGTGGGACGACCATGGATACACCCCATAAGAGTCTCCTCCAGCCTATACCAAGTAATTAAATTCCCAACACCATGGGGTATATTCAGCATACGCGAGAAACAACGTACATCCCGGGAATGCTACCGCATTGCCTTGGATAGCATGACCCCCTAATAGAAAAAAGACAAAGAAAAACAGGCACAACAATCAACAAGGTCGAGGTCGATTAGCTCGACCACAAAGAACAAGATCGTCTCATTGAACCCGCCTGAAGCCGGCCTTAATAAGCGGAGGGACTAACTGTATGGGTCAAAATCTATCTTTAGAATATTTAAGCCAAGGTAGTACTAGGGGAAGAGTTCTCAGGTCGTCGTTCGTCGAAATGACCCCAAAAGCGACGAAGTCTGTGGTCAAAGAGTTAACTAGGGACCGAAGTCGAGGAGTCAACAAGGGTCGAGGCCGAGGTCGAGTACTTTTGATAGAGTTATAACGGCTAGTTTCAAGATAGGACATAAAAAGAATATTCTAGTGGATATTCTCCGTACTTGTACTATTACGGTTTTTTAGGGTTATGTTCCCTATAAATAGAAAAAGACACAATGATGGGGAAAGGTGATATTCATTTGTAAAAAATACACTTTGACTTTAGAGAGAGAGAATCGGACTTCATTACAAGCATACAAACATCACCTTTTCACTAAGATTCTTGTCTACATTTTTCCGATAGATCCGATTGTAACTCAGATATTCAAAGGATTGACCATCAATCATCATTGTAAGAAAGAATGTTTACTGATTCCATCCTTTCTTGGGTGACACATTCATTATGTTTACTTAAATGTCATTTATTGCTATTCACTGATACTGAATGCTACATTATTGCCTTTAGTTTCTAGAAAGTCATTGCTTACTGTTGTCGTTATCCAACAAATACTTACATAGTATTTGTTGCACTTTTGAGAACTTCATCTTAGGGATATTATTGTTAGCTAAGATTAATACTCATTTATATAAATTTAATTATTTGAACCAAGATCTATATTTTTTTGTCAAACAATATTAGCAAATGCTGGACTCCATAATTGCAAATAATAAAATACTCATTAGGAGGGATGAGAGCTCGCAAAAGAATGAATGAATTCTTTTATCTTGCTATTGGTAGCTTTGAAAGTGTCACTACGCCAATTTGATGAAGTGAGACAATGATGATTAATGGAGTTTATCTTGCTAATTGTAAACAGTACTCCTATTAAATTCAAGATTGAATTCGAGAGTGGTCGGCTGTAGCTGTTGTGAGTCTTATAAATCTGATCGTCCTTTACGCTATGGTTTTCTTGCCATCGCACTCTGGTCCTATGCCGTAGCAATAATGACTTCATAGGGGCGACGCCTGATGTTCTTGCTAGTTGCAATGATCATGTGCTACTCCAAAAATTATTAATCAACCTATATATATTGAAGTGTAAAACTATTTTACGTTATTGGGCATTTTAATTGATTAACAGCTAGTTTTTTAGGTTATTAAATTAGAATTACTACATTTACATATGGTTATATCAACCATATGTAATTATAGTAATTCTAATTTAATTTAATGACCTAAATTAAAAATACATATGGTTGTAAATTAATGTACGTACATTGTATTAGGGGTGTACATAGGTCGGGTTGGTTCGGATTTTGCAATTACCAAACCAAACCAATTGTGCCGGGTTATTAAATCTAAAGACCAAACCAAACCAATAAAACTCAAGTTTTTCAATCTCGGGTTTTCGGGTTATTCGAGGTTTTTTCCGGTAAAATCTTCGTAGCACAAAACATATAACTTGTGCTCAAAATATTTCTTTAATCATAGTAAGATACAACTATATAAGGTAAAATAATACAAAATATGAGATGTGTCATGTCATTATCCTAAAATATTCACCAATAAAGACAATAAAATTATGTAATATAAATATTGCTAATTAAAAATCCATAATAAAAATATACATAATCTAAAAGTACTAAGTCATGCTAAAATAAGTAGACTAATAAGGGAGTATTAATTACATTACTAAAGGCTAAAGAAAATATAAAAATAGGTTATACATTTTTATCTAAATTATTGCAAAAGAAAAAATAGATATTCAATACATTGTGATTTATAGTATTGAATTGAATGTCTTTTGTAAGCATTAGTATTGATTTTATTTTGGTTTGGGCTTTTGTTAGCATTATTTAAGTAACTGATATTAATGGCTATAAAACTTATTGGAACATTCAAAAGTTCTAAGTTCAACCTTGAAATAATATCTTAAAAGATAAAATTATGAAAAAGTTTAAAAAATATTTATAAATTACATCACAATAAGTATATTTATATATTAAATATATCTAAAATTTCTATATATGTAATGTCGGATTGGTTTGGTTTCGGTTTGACTTTTTTTAGTTAAAACCAAACCAAACCAATTATGGTCGGATTTTTTTTTCCAACACCAAACCATAGTCGGGTATTTTTCTCGGTTTGATTGGGATTATTGGGTTGGTGCGGTTTATCGGTTTCCTTTGTACACCCTGCATGTGTTGCTCGCTATAGAATATTTCTTGAAAGATATTTTACTTTTATATTTATGTTATATTGTATATGTTTCTAAGGATAGAAGACAATCTAATTTCTTTTTGACATGTATTGTGTTTTTTATTTACATTATGAATTTTAGGAATGGAACACAATTTGATTAAGTATTTCTCAAAAATGTATTTTCCTCTTACATTTAGGAGTTTTTTTTACTGAACAGTTTTATTCCTTCTCAATGACACTTGTCTCGTTTTATTTATTTAAATTTTTTATTTTAAGATAATATGATTTCAAATTGAATTTTTTTTCTCTTTTTTTTAGACATTACATATATTTGATATGATGATAGATTTATAAATATTACACTCATTATAAATATTACACTCATTATGCATAGATATGGTGATAGATTATATCCTTTTTTCTTTTTGTTAATTTTTCCTTTTGGCCACTAAAAAGAAAAATACTTACCATACCAAAAAACTTCACTTGCTTTATCTGTTTAAGTTTAGGCGTCCAATGTGGATTCATAGGCGTTCCTTATTTGTTTGGCCATAGATTCCCAAATTTATTTTGAAAAATCTGATTTGGGTGAAGTTTGGTTTGAAGATGAAAATGTATTTGGACATGATTTTTCAAAACATATTTTACTTTTTATTTGAAAAAATATGAAACATGACTTATACCCATAAGTTCTAAAAACTATCACAAATATCCAATAATACCATTATCACAAACCATAATCCTAAACATAAATAAGTTTGGTAGAAAATTATCATTTTTATAATAAACTATATAAATCATTAATTACAGTGAAATCCCATTAGAGAATTACGACTCCTAATTAAAAAGAAAAGGTTAACTGATATGAGTGTTCAGAAAGCCATTTAGCCTACAAATCAGAAGCAAAAGTAAGATGCACAAAGGATTGAGCTGATAAGGGAGCATATTCATCAAATATTTAGTTGATCGTAATAAATGTGGACTCTTTTACAAACTATAAAAGTTTGGGATAATATTTAAAAAAAATTAAAAATGTAACAGTCATGTTTTGGCCCAAAATCAGCAATTAAGGTGATTTTGGGATTTGAAATTTTACCACAATGTGGGCAAAATCTATGGCCAAACATATATTTGCCAAATAAATCCCAAATTTATTTTGGCAAAACTCATGGCCAAACGGTCCTTAGGACTTTGAGGAGTTTCTCTCTTTCTTAGTTTGGTAATTTAGTAAATTAAAAAGAAGCATCTTATAAATTATAATTTTGTCAAGCATGAAATATATTTTTTTAAAAATATTTTAAGGTTATTTTGGTCTACCAACATCATATTCATATTTTTATAATAATATAGATAGATAGATAGATAGATAGATAGATAGATAGATAGATAGATAGATAGATAGAAATTAAAAGCACGAAGTCGATTAGCGAAATATCATTCGGCTTTTTTACCCTTTTAAAATTGAGTTCACACTAGATAAAATAGTCATTTGATTATCCCCTAATATTTAGGAATAGTCATTTAATTATTTTATTAATATTTAGGACTTTTTAGTCAACTAAAATTTTGTTTATTAATAATTTCCTTATCAATTTCCTACTATTTAGGAATAGCAGCTTTTTTCCAATATTTAAAATTTAAAATAAATTAAAATTTTACCTTACACGAAGTATTTTCTTATTTGACGATGTAACATAGCTACTACTATAATTCTAAGTTACGTTACCTAATACTTATAACCTTGAAGTTTGAATTGCAAAAGGAATTTTTTTTTGTATACGATGCTAAATAAAGGACTAAAGGCACATAAACTTCAAATCTCATATGTCTTATCGGTTACTTGATGGACGTACCAGATTAAGTGAGAACCTCTATAAATTGGTCATCTCCCCACCCATTAGGGTTACCGTATTTTATTTTCTCTCTTCCATCACTAAAGTCAGTGGTAACGAAAGCTAGGGCAAGGAGCGAGAAACCAATTTGAATTAACGCTTCCGCTTCACGATGATGGCTTACGATTCAAGTATGTTTTCTGTACGATTTTGTGTAAGATTATCATGTTCAAGATCTTGGTATACAATTAAAGTTTATGCTAACATGTGGTATCAAAGCCTGGATTTTTGAACTGATCATCTTCGTAAAAGAAAGACTATATCTTTATGTTGATTGTTTAACCAAAGAATTGGATTCTCAGTTAAAACCTATTTTTAGAAGTACTCGGGTTACTGATAATCAAGAAATTTAATATTCTCTCAGAAATAAGAAAAGAAATTAGAATAAAAAATGATAAAATAATCAATTGAAAGCACAAGAAAATAATTATATTCCAATAATAATCAGAACGTGTCTTTACAAGTGAAATTCCCTTCCCTTATATAGGAATTTACAAATATAACGTTTCTTCCCTTTTATGACCGAATCATTATGAGCATTAATGATATTAATGAAACGTTATAATTGGCAACCGTAACTGTTCATGAAGATTCTGTAACGGTTCCGATTCTTCTTCCACAT